ATGAAAAGCTGTTTACCAGCTTAGCTTAACTACAGTGGTTTTATTCATAATTTTCAGTGCACAAGTTTAGATAAACACCCAAGCATTTTCTAACTGTCCACGTGACATCAACTGTTCAGCATCTGCTCCTAACACTCGACCATACACAGTCTTCTTGGAATTAGTCAACAACAGCAGCAGATCTGTCACATAACTCAACAAATGTTCCTGTATCCTCACATCAGCTGCACCGCATGTACGAAGCCTGCCTTGTATTTGGGAAAAACACCACCACCAAACCCTCAAAAACACATTCTGTGCCCTTTCTGGAGAGAACAAATTGTATGATGAATGTTTTTACAACATATCAGATCTGTGAACATGTCTTTTGAGCTGATCGTACGCAACTCTTTATACAGACAGACCTTTATGCTTACAGCCTACTGATTCCAGGACAAGCATAAAAGACCATATTTACAAAGTCACATACAAAATCCCTACCTCCTATTCTGACTTTCTTTTAGGTCCTAAACATTCCAGACTGCAGCTTAAAGCACGAATTTACTCTTACCACATAGCACTTGTATTTGCTTCAATCCAGAATCTTACAGGATCAACATACAGCACTGTAAGACTTCATTTCTTTCCATCAGCTCCACACAGCATGCAGCACGAGCTCTTGCCTCAACTGCAGTTTTCAACGCAATTATGCAACATCTAGTAGCAACAATTGTTAGCTTGCAATGTAAGAGTAAGCAACTATTTGAAAGCTACCATAATTCTGATCTAACATTTAAAGCCTCACATTTACACTAACAGTGGCAATTCACTTCTGACAGCTTTAGTGTTTATCACACTTTCCTGTCTGTGCTTTTACACCATAGTCATGACTTCAGTTCCTGCTCATCATGAGCTTCTCTTTTGTTTCCATCAGTCCTTGCACGAAGGAGTTTTACTTTTAAAGCAAGCTGCAACTCCTAAGCCTTTTATTTACAGAAAACACAAGCAGGTGGGCAGAGACCTTTGAAGTTCATGTCTATTGCTGCAAACAAGCCCAGTACCCTGATTCATAATGAACTTTAACCAACTGCCTGAGAAACCAGCCTCTACTGAAGGCTCCAGTCTGCCTCTGCCTACGGAAGTGAAAATTGGTTTAGAGCAAGTTTGTTTACAAGTTCACCAACCTTGATGATGTTTCATGCCTCTTCTTTCCCACAGGTTATTTTGGATTCTTTTTTCTACCATTCATTTTGATGACAAACTGGTTTTGATGTCTGTGTTCAATTATTCCTGCATGTGAGTCTGACTGTCCCCATGAGAAACCAGATACTGAACCACGTGATTTTAGACAGCCCCTCTTTTGGTTAGTATTGTACTTTCACAAGGATTAAGAGAAAAACTACACAAAGGAGCACAAACTCCCCTTGGAAAAATAGTCTCCCTGACTTACGTAAAGGGTGAAACAGGCTAAAGATGTGTCAAGAAAAGCATTCATGTATTTTCGGGGTACCAAAACCAAATAACCTCTGTGCTAGTTTTAAATGCAGTTACATCTCCAAACTTTTGCAAAACCTGAGTATTATTCCAGAAGCAGAATTGTGGCACACTAACACAGCGGCAGAGAAAGATGAAGCAGCTTCATTTTTCATTGCAGAGAAAGGTGACCTTGGCATGAAGTCAAGAGCTATACAGGTGGCAGTTTCAAGTCTGATTTTGATGGGAAAAGACTGACGTCAACTACACAAAATCCACCAAGTAAGTATTTCATTATTAAAAAGCAAACATTTTGCTCAAAAGAAGGAACTGAAGATACAGTGAAATTTAAGTCTTGCAGTAAGCTGTAGCAGTGACAGTACTCTTAAAAAGCCCAGCATTAACACATTTCTAAAAGGTAAAAGTAATGAAATTAATTTGAAAGAAAGAGAGTACTGCTGCTGCCCAGAGAGATGGTGGATGCACCATCCCTGGAGACATTCAAGGCCAGGCTGTATGTGGTTCTGAGCAACCTGCTCGAGTTGAACATGTCCCTGCTCATTGGAGGAGGATTGGACTAGGTAACCTTTGAAGGCCCTTTCCAATGCAAACTATTCTATGATTTTACAAATGGACATCACAGAATAGTTATCATAGGGCCAAGACTTCTCTCAGGATATACCTGAAATAACAAATCAAGCCTTCTTCAGAGATACCTGTTCTTGTTAGCAACAAAGAACATTTCGTATCAATTCTAAACTTAACCTATGGTATTCAAAACAAGGATACTCTCAGACTACACTGTTTGTTCTTCCCCTTCTAACTTCAGCAATTATAACTGCCTTTATATTAAAGCACTGCAATCCTAAAGCTAATACACAAGGTATTGAGTATTAGTCATATTTTACATTTCCATCCTTATGAAGTGCACTGTACTCTTAGCAAAGCCCACATATAAGCTCCACACGATTGTTCTTGTAACAGGCAGCCACAGTACAGCTGATACCACCCCAAAAAAATAGACTATATTGGCTTTGGCAGCACCAATCAGACTGTGATATGAGACAAAAAAAAAGAAATGAAATTCCACTCCTTTACTGCAGGACAGAGCTGCATCACGCTTTCAAGGCAAAACAATGCTCTTAGCTGCATAAAAGACCACACTGTAGAACTGCATCAGACTTAGCTGACTAAGACATTGGTCTTAGTTTTGCCAGCTAGCATCCAAGCTCACCACTGCAAGCACCTCCAGCCCTGCTTCTTAACTAGGAATAATTTTACCCTTGAAGGCAGGCAAATGTTTAATTTACAAGTGTCTATGCTCACAGCTAATTTAGCAGATCTAGTGGAAGCATCATTTGTGCTATTCACGCCAAAAGATAACACCATGTTTGCCCAAGAAGTAAACAGGAAGGAAGAAGCCCACTCACTACCACTCAGTTTGATCTTCTGTAAGTTGCACGTAACACAGGAACTTCCCAACACTTTTTATATTCAGGTAGTACTGCCAGGATAGCAGTTCCTGTGCTGCACACCCAAGCCAACAGCTGCATTATGTTGCCAGTTCAAAATACTCACTCCTTTGAAGTAATATAGGTCCCCAAACCCAAGTATGTCTCTTCCGCATGACTCAGCATGGATTCACTTTGCCCCCTCTGCCAAAACACAGCACGTGGTCCAAACCAGTATATTACCTCAAAGAATATAGTGCCCTGTTTCCCACAGGCTCAGAGCATGAGTGGAGCAATCCCTTGTCAACCAATACCACACGACAGAGATTTGCCTGTCAGCAGCACACAAACAGCTGGTCCCAGCAGCATCTATTAGAGGTTTTGCCAGGTAAACCCTCTTCCGCAGGGGAATAGTTTTGTTGGAGTGACAAACACTCAGGTTGGCTGGTCACTGTTCAAGAGTTCTGATCAGCAACTACTTTCAATGCACATCTTAAGAGGTTCTATGACAAAGAACTAAGTTTTAGAAGCGCTCTGACACTTTTCCTTTCCTTAAATTACCACTGGATAGCATGCTTTGGTAATAACAGCAGTATAGGTGGGGTAAACTTACCATTATCTCCCATTAGTGGACACCTTGTCTACACTGTTTAAGCCATTCCTTGGAATGTTACAAACAGAAAGTATTTCTTCCTATAAAGGCTTTCCTTGTGTCCGCTTATTTCAGCGCAGAATTATATTACACATATCTTATGTTAAAGCAGATAGAGTTAAAAGTTACTCCAATTCAACAGGCTAATAAAGAGGTCATTGGACTGCTAGTTTCATAGCCTGCATAACTTTAGAGTTAGAACATAGGAGAGAAGGAAAAGGAAGAAGTCAGGTTTAGCAAAAACTAGCCAAGGATCAATAAAGACTTCCACCTCCTCGTTCCTTCTGTGATTGCTTCTTACCATCCTCTCCCACCCAGCTAGCACTAGCATCCTCTGATTTTGTTTGCTTTCTTTACAGAGCACGCCACATAATAAAGCCTCAGGTTTAGAGCTGCAGACTCAAATCTTGTCACAAAATACTACAACTATTCCAGCCCTCCAGCAATGGACTGAAATCATGTTAAATAAAAACGCTACCATCCTTAAGATAGAACATGAGTTTATCCCAATAAAGACCTAAGTTGATAAGATTAAAGACACTGCCACAGAGCAAGAGAGGTTGGCTAGAAGCTTACTTTTTAACTGAGGCCATGCCACATATGCATAAACCCCTGGTTAACAAACTGCGTTTCAGTTTACAGTTTATGTTGAACACAATGTACCAAAAACCAGCCACTGTCATGAATCCCCTAGGTATCCAAATGTATCAAAAATATCCAAAGAAAGACTTCTGTATTTTGTCTTGTTGAAGTGAAGCGTCACCACGGGCAAAAATTATATGAGCAGTAACTTGAAAGGGTTACTCTCGTCCTAGCCATGACATCCAACATCAATACTACACTTTGATCAGTGCATCGTACTGAATTACTCACTTGGTGGATTTAGCCATTCGGTACAATGAGAACTCAGATGTCTTTTAATACATGGTTCAGGGAACAGATATGAACTAATATCTCCACACATTTGGGAAAGAAGTTCCAATACAATACATCACCTATTTCTCATGTGTTATTCTATGCACAGAGATTTCTTTTGTCTTTGCTGACCATCAGTGAAAAGCTATAGCGAACAGTATCCATTTTCAGACTGACACCAGCCTAAAGGATTCACATCAGCTAGAAAAACTGACTTCAGCTGTTACTCACATCTCTGCTCTTTTTGTGGACTGTCATCCAAGCCTAGCACACAATTCATTAACAGAGACTGAAATAAAAAAATACATACACACATACACTAAATTTACTTCCCTTTTAAATATCTTGTGTTTCTTTTCCTGAAGCAAGTACAGTTAAACTACACAAACAACATAAAGTTGGTTAAAAACACATCTTGCAGCTCAAGTAAATACCAAAGAAAGATGGCTCTATAGTTCGTCTTTCTAGCTGAGTCACAGGCTTCCTAGCTGCAGGAAGGAACTCTGCACAATTTCTGTATGCTGACCTACCAGAGTTTGATGTGTTCCATCTTCTGGGATGACGGAACTCGTGCCAGGCTTCTGGGTTTTCAGTACATCACCATAATCTGCCGCATCAAAGTTAGTCTTCCAGACCATCACCTGCAGAAGAAAGCTGATGTCTATTAAAATTTTCCATCTATGTTTGCTTAAAGGTCAATTCTGTCAACACATTGGAGTCAGCAGATGCACACAAAGTTTATCTAAGAAAGCACTGATCAAATTAAAGATGTTATTTTTAAATATGCTACTGAATACAGACATGGCGTAACCGTGTTCTCAATGTGTAAGTGACCTCTTCCGACATTCTTTGGGTCAGGAACACCGTGAAACTAGAGCAACCTAAAGAACTTCAAAGCAACATGCAGAATAACACCGTTAAACCCACAAATACATTAAAATACCATGCTTAGCATTACAACAGTTATCAGCCACAACCCAAACAACTAGTCAGTTGTTTATCATGAGATTCATTCACAGGAAAAGCAGAGTTTGAGACTCTGAGACGAGTGTTAGAGTTCGAGCTAGTTTTCCAGCTGAACACCAAACTTAAGTTCCACTTACAGTCATATTCTCTCCATAATGCAGTATGTATTTCAGAGGAGAAGAGAGGCCTCTAACATAAACCACTTCAGCGTATCAACAGCAAACATATGGAATAAAATGCTTAGCCGTGACTCCAAGTCTAGAAAGTTTAAGAGTAATCAATGAAGTATTTCAGAAGTCTGAAAGCCACCTATGAACCTGGCAGCCTATCCTGGCTATCAGAAATATGTGTTTATTCTTCACTTACAAGGTTTCATCCCTACTTTGTGTGAAATGAAGGCTTTGTTGCACAGTTAACCAATGTGACCACACCATTGTGTAAGAGAAAAAAAGTGATGCTCTTTTATAGAATAGGTTGTCTCTTCACAGCTAGCAAAGGTACTATTAAAAAAGATGGGTACTGACACCAGGATAGTCTAACCTGGAGATTAAGAGCAATACAACACAACTCAGTGAAGACTGATGGCAAAAATGGATACTTATTCAGATCACTACTTTGGGTTGAAGTCTGTCCATATCTTCATTGGGGCAGCTCACACAGTGTTAAAACCAGCACATATTTGCAGCAGGGTGCAAATGGCAAAAAAAAATTGTCCCAATTCCAATAGGCTCATATAACAGGCCTGTCTGCAATTCAGTAAGGGTTTTTAGACAGGCTACATATCTAAGTTACCACATAAAAAAGATCCTTTTTGACCTGTAGAGATGTTCTTTATTATGCCTTGTATTTCTTTTGGATTCAGTAAGTTAGTATTTAGCGAAGTCCCTTCCACTGAAAAACTAGCAAGTGAAGACTAATGCTGGTTTTAGCACGTGCATATATTGTATGTTAAAGTTCTTTCTCCACTGTCATGGTTTAAGCCCAGCTGGTAACTCAGAACCACACAGCTGCTCACTTACTCTCCTCCTTCTTCCCACCCTGCTCCAGGAGGGATGGGGAGGAGTATCGAAAGAATGCAAATCCCACGGGCTGAGATAAGAACAGTCCAGTAACTAAGGTATAACACAAAACTACTACTGCTACCACCAGTGATAATAATGATGATGATGATGATAAGGGAAGTGACAAGAGGAGAGAATATACAACCGAAAGGGGAAAAGGAAAAGAAAACAATAAAACGCAAGTGATGCGCAATACAACTGCTCACCACTCGCCGACTGATACCCAAGCCTGACCCGAGCAGCAATCTGGGCCTTCTGGGTAACTCCCCCCAGTTTCTATACCAGGCATGATGTGCTGTGGTATGGAATACCCCTTTAGCTAGTTTGGGTCAGGTGTCCTGTCTCTCCTTCCTTCCAGCTTCCTGTGCCCTCCTCACTGGCAGAGCACAAGACTGAAAAGTCCTTGATCAGAAGTAAGCATCACTTAGCAACAACTAAAAACATTGGTGTGTTATCAGTGCTGCTCTCAGACTAAAGTCAAAAATGCAGCACTGCACCTGCTGCTAAGAAAGAGAAAAATAACTTTTACAGCTGAACCTAGGGCAGTATCCACTCCTTATTCCGTACCATGCACATCATGCTCAGGCCCCATTTTTTCAATATAACATTACTTTTTGTCTATATATATGTATACATATCCCCACACAAAAAGAGAGATATCATTCCTTATTCCATGGACCAATCCCTAAAAGTTGCTGAATTCATTCAGTCCATGATGTCAGGCTCCATCTCCTGTAACAGTCTTCCAGGGTAGGAGAGACGGTGTGCAGTGCTGGACTGCTGCCTGCTGACGACACCTCTGAACTCGTCTGGTCACTGCTGAGCTCATCCGGTTTCATCATTCTTTATTAGGATGACAACTGGAGGGAAGTCAGGGCTGCTGCCTCACTCCAGGGCACTGGCACCAATGAGTGGGCATATGATGATGGCACACTGTGTAAGTTTCCACCACATAGGTTGTGTACATTCGACTTCACCTGGATCTACAGGTGCATTCCTGGCAACCGGCCTATTATAGATCATCTCTACAATGGCTGATTCCCTCAGGCACTGGATGCCTCTCTATCGCGGTCCACTTGGCTGAGCAACACATAACATTGTCCTTGTAGGGAAACCTTTCCTTCACAGCTGCCAAGAGCCACCCCCAAAGGCTGAGGGACCATTTCTCTTTTGCAATCTCTTTGTCATTTCCCTCTTCCCTAGCAAGTGATCACAGCTGCTTGGCTCTCCTATCTTCTAGTTCATGACCATCGGTTCCACAGTCCCAGCACTGGAGCAATCAGGTGATGATGTGCTCCCCTGGATGACTGCTGAAATCTTTCTGTATATTCTGCTGCTTGGTTGAGGTCCAGGATCGAGAAGTTACCTCTTCCTTTGACTCCTGTAGTAATAACTCTTGTTCAGACGCCATCCCCTGTAGTATGTGCATTGGGTCTTTATCTTTCTTCACTGCACAAGTGGACCTTCATGGCTCTCGTTTGTTTTTCCCCTTGCTTATAGGGGCAACTGATACTAGCACAGGCTGGTCCGTTCATTCAGCTGCAATGTCTATCACTGCAGTTGGAGTGGCTGCAGTGTCTGTCACTGTGGTTGGAGTGGCTGCACTTTTGGATACAAATCTAAGAGGAGAGAGCAGTTCCTTCATGGGAGCTAACAACAAGAAAGCCAACAGCTGCCCTTCCCAGTGCGTGTATTCAGAAACACACAACCTTAAGCTACAATGGAAAGGGCTGCCAAGGAAGTCCATTACGACTCCATGCCACAAATGTATCTTTACAAAGCACCTTTCTGGGAAAGTACTGTCATTCAGTCTTTCAGTTTAACAATGCCATGCGATACTTTTAAGGAGCAACACTTTGGTTGAAGAAAACCCAACCACAGGAAAGAAGGGGGAGCTGATAAAACAAAAGCCTTTTGAAGGAATCTACATAATGGAGAAGAGCAGATAAATACATCCTGTTAGGCTATAAAATGAAGCTACTAAAAAGTCAGCTCCTTAGCTGTGCCTAGAAATTGAAGACAAAATACCTGAAGTTTTCTATTGGAAGTAAGTAATGCTGAACTGCTATGTAACTGGAACTGCCAGCTACGTGAGGGCTTTTAAGGAAGAAACAAACAGCAAAAAGGCATATTCATTTCTTGCGTTAGAGAAGCATTTCAAGAGCAAACCTTATTCTAGTGACCCTAATATAATTTTATAAGGCAAAAACCTGGATGAATCTCAATCTAAATCCTCAATTAAAAAGTGATCTTAAAGAGAAAGGACAGCAAGCTATGCCACTCATCTCAGCAAATCCACAAAACAGAGTTAAAATGCAGCAGCTCATGAAACAGTCATGAGCTACAAGCCTAGGACCCTCCTCCACAGAATACAACTGAGCACATACACCGCAGAGAGAACCAGCAAGTCATTTGAGCATGATCCAGACTTTAGTACAGTTTTGCTTTCCTCCACTGACAAAGCAAAAGCCAGCCGCTTTTAAAGAAGCGTAAATCTGAATTAGAACCAGAAGTTAAAAGGAACAGATCTCCCTTTCTGCCCCAATCTTCATCCACAAACCCCTTTAGCAGCGGTACAAGACACACAGGCTCTCAATCCCAGTCTACATATCATGGTTAGCAGAGAAAAGTCCAATTTTAACCCAAAAAGCTGTGCAGCTGTGGCATTAGCACAACTTTGCACCAGGCCCCCATTACTAAAGAGGCCTACAGCCTGTATTCATGTCCAGTCAAAAACCATCTGGTCTCAGTCACTGGAGATGGCTTAGCCACAGCGTCTCACGTAAGACTGAGAGTAGAGATCTGCAGGAAAAGGAGAGCAGTAAGGAATATAAAATAGAAAGCACTTTAGACCAGTGGAGCCTGAAAGAGTATTCAGGGGAAGCACCCCCCCACCCTGTCCTTACACTGGTGTCTCAGCACTAGTCAGTGGCAGATCAGGCAACGCTCCATCAGCACAGCCCACAATATTCAACATACCTCAGCACACCCATTTGTACACCCATCTTACTCCCCAGCACCAGACACCTCAAAGGCACAGAACACAGGCCATACATAGGGTAATATTTCCTGTTGCACATACACATTCCCAGATAACCCAGCTGAAGTGCTTCCTGAATAAGAGAAGTCTAGTTTTAAGTTTTAAATATTTGTCTTCTCTTTGAAAGCAGTAAGATGCCAAGAAAATAGAAACAACAAGGCACAAAGCTATCAAATTAAACTAGTCAGGTACCTGTTCATCAGAACCTCCAGAGGCAAGTAAGTCTCCAGTTCTTGAAAATGCAACACAGGTAGCTGGCCCCTGCAAACAGATTCAAAAGACTGGTTTAAAAACAAGTGAAAGAAAACTTGTTACAAAGCTCCATTGATTACAGCTTTACAAGGTATTTCTCATTTGACATCAGCAATCTAAAGGCAAAATTAAAAGAGCTCTTATCTGTCAGGTAAGAGGCCCACAATTAACCTGCTAAGCTCACTGGCCCTTACTTATTTCCCACATTTTTGCCCCCAGTTTAAGACACCCACTTTCCAATACCCATGGCACTGAGACAGAAACAAACCAAGTTTTAAAGCTCCATATTTTTCCTTATTCCCTCACCATCATTCTCTCTTCCCTTTAGAATTAGAAATCCCTAAAACTTCTGTTCATTTATTAAAAGTAGTAAAAAACTGATGTATTGTGTTTAATATATCTTCAGTTACCCACCTGCCAGAAAGGCTTATAGCAGAAAAGGGGGTTTAAACACACAGATACACCCAGAGCAGCATCAAAAGGCATACTGAAAAAGACTGTCAGAGGTAAAACACCCCCAACTACTGACAATTTGAAGCATTCACAGTCATAAACCATGCCCCATAAAAACATAGCATCTTTTAAAACAAGTTTTGGGGAGTGATGAATCCACCTTTCAGGCTTCAATTGCCAAGCCTTCAGAATCCACGTTTCCCAAGCACCTCCTCACACCATGAATATTAGAACCATGAAAGGAAAATGCACTAAGCCAAAACTTTCCCATAACCATGAAACTCCAGGGACCAGAACTTCAAACACTACCCAGGATCTCCAAGCAACTGATACCACAAGACCACCATGTGCACCAGATTCCCCATGGAAAATAGCATCTTCTTTCCACATGCTTTCCCAACAGCCTTTGTTTGAAAATACATGTTTGGTTTTGTTTAGGTTTTATTTACAGTCAGCACATGCTCTCCTATACATATTTCTAGGGTATCCACTACAGAAGACCCAAGGCTTAAAGCTCCTGCTTACTCTATCACAATATAACTTGAAAACATGCTCGGACAGCTATCAACCAAAGCAATCAGTTTGATCAAAGTTAGAAGCATTTTAAGTCAAGAAATCTGTACAAGCAGGATAACCAAATGCAGAAGATTCAGTATTCGAAGCAGAACCCAATTACTTATTTTATTTGAAACTTGGCAGTCAAGAAGCCCACAGAGTTTTCAGCACAGGAAGAAGAAAAAGCCAAGGCTACCTGAAGGGCACTGGTAAAAAAAGAAGAGGTCACTGAATGGCAGACAGAGCAGTTTTTGTACATTAATTTCTATTTACTGTATTCTCTACTAGAGTTTTGCAGGAAGCAGCTATGCTCTTTGGATACCAACTAGCAGGACAAAGTCAATGCAGGGGAGCATCCAAAGGCTTCAGAAACAAAACAGAATCACTGCTTCACATCCCCTCGTGTGTGGAGCATGTGGCCAGGCAATGACAGCGGCTTCAAACCAAACAGGGACCCACAGCAACACAGGAGATCACAAGCAGCAGGCAGGTACTCCTTACAATACTATCATTTGCCATGCTGAAGCTACAGCCTAATGGTCAGTGTTAGCGGACAAGGTTTTAACTGAAGAAGAGAGGGCTGGCTTAAACTGCTTTTCTTTTACTTGTTTTACAGGAGAGCTGTCTGAGTCAGTGCATCCAGGATCATGTTCATGCAGCACAGGTGCTCACATTTTGGAGAAGCCTCTGTCTTAAAATAAGTCAGTTCTGGGAGACTTTAAATGGTGCTGACTGCTAAAGCACTGCAGTGTAAAAGAATGCATTTCACACCATGCATCTATTTTAACACGCTTCCAACCCTTCAGAAAGCAGACAGCAGGGCACACATGGGAAGGATGAGGCTGGCACTGAGATGCAGTTGAACAGACCTGGCAAACTGTTACGTGTGTTCAAGCACAGGCACAAGAGACAAACGGTTCTGCTTAGAATAAAAACCTGAGAACCCAGATAGTGGATATGTCAGCTACTGAACACACTACCCTGCAGACTCTAAGTCCGAGTTTTGCCCAAGCTGAAATGGCCAGAGGGAGGAATGTGCATTTCCAGAAGATACCTATGGCCAAGTGAACTGGGAAAAGCAAGCTGAAGTAATCACAGGCTGATAGGGTAGGGGTGAGGCAAAAAAACCCCACACAACAAACAAAAAACCCCCACAACAAAAAACAACACACACCATAACCACCACCACCAGGAAACTCCCCCCCCCCCACATAAGCAGTCATCCTATTTCAAGTAAGATCATATATCTCAAAAGGTAAGCAGGAAGCTTCCCATCACCCTGAATCAAGTTGCAAGGACAGACTATTCTATTAGGAGTTCACATCTTCCCAATGGGCACAGCATGGAAATCTCACACCCAGTTTGTTTTTGGTGTTCCTTCCTCCTCTGTAAGAGTGAACTCAGGGGCATAAATCCTGAAGGTAGACAAATACTCAAAGGCTGCATTCGGGATGAGCACCCAGCTCTCACTGCAACCTGTGTCCCACAGCCTGGCGTGAACCTTGTGCCAGCAAAACAAGAGTCCTGATGTGGTCACTGCCAGCGTGAAGAGTTTTAGCTTCCTTAAAACACACTAAGGTATTTCCATATTAGCATTTCACCTGCAGTGACTTCAGAATGTTTTGAGGCCTCCAAATAGCAACATCTGACTGGACAGATCCTGCCAGAAATGATCTAGAAGCAGCAACTTCATTCTGCATGTGCAGGCATTAGCGTGACTGAGCTTGGTCAACTAACACAGCACTAAACAGTGCAGAAATTTCAAACCAAAGACACAGTCATCGACCAGCTGAGACAGAGCACGTTTCTGTACCACCACCTTTCCCAGCAGTTCGGCTCTCTGATTACACTGTCAGGAACGAAGGCTATAAAAAATAAAACAAATAATGCAAAAGCTGAAAGAAAAAGGCAAATGCAAAAAATAAAAGGCAGTAAGAAAGGGCAGAATCAAGTAGATAGTCAGGAAACTGCATGGTGCTGAATATTAAAGGTGTCAGAGCTGAGGATCCAGAAGCTGCACTCTGTAATAAACCTGCCAGAGTTGGGAGGGCAGAAAAAACTGAAACAAACCTTCAAGACATTAAGACAAAGTGTTCAGGAACAAGCACAAGTGAGGAATACTGGAGGGGAGCAATGTTTCACCAGATTCTTTGTTTCAGGCTAAATATTTCAGCATATTGAGACAAAATTTAACACAGTACAAATCACATCAAAACAGGCAATGAACCAACTCCAAAGTCCTGGCATTCTGAAGGTGGGGGGGGAAATTCAACAGAACACATTCTTTCCCAAACAGAAAATTATATCAAAGGCTGAATGTGCCTTTATAAATTGAAAGAAGGGGAACAAACAAGTCTGCAGACACAACATCCTCTACAGATTTGTTGACACAAATTAAGTGAAAAGTATTTTTGCTACATCCACTCGCAGCACTCTGCCCGGATGTAACAGGTCTGCTATAGCAACATACAAACCACAGTTTGCCAAATACTCTCAAGCTTCATATAAACACACAAAACAAAAACAGAGCTACACTTGCCAGTGATAAGACACAACCTAACTCCCGTTTATTCCAGGTAAGCACAGCAGACATCCAACGGATTCTTGACGCAGTCCTGGACCAGAAGTACATGTTTGGAGACAAAGGAATCCAAGTCTTCCTTCAGGTTTTTCCCTCCCTTTAAGCTTACCGTTTGCGTTACAAAGGTCAAAAAGCAGCAGTTGCATATTCTTCTATACAAGTTGTAGGGAGAATTCTTTGCTTATTTTCCATGCAACTAGGACATGCAGTATCCAGCAACCTTCTAAAGCATCACCTTATTCCTTTTTCTTAGGCAGGATACAAATGCTCTTCTATCAGTGTTCCCTGGGGGTTCAGAAGTTCCAGTTCTGCATCCTCACTGTGCCGCACACAAACTGATAGCACCAATCCCTAAATTGCTTGCCTTAGATTAAACAGCAAGCTGCAGAAAGAAGGGACTGGACAATGAGATACACTACGTCAGCAGTCAGGAACTTTCTTATTTAGTCTTCAGCAGGCCAACAACATGAGGACTGTTGAGCTTTTGTGCCTTTCAAATAGAGTTTGAAATTATAATCATTTGGTGATAATGGGAGAAAGCTGCAGAAGGTTTGAAGGAAGTACAGAAAAGAGCAAAAAGTTATCCTCTGGAAGAACTGAGTGAAGAATATTGCCACTAATCAATATTCAACTTACCTCCTCTAGTGAAAGAGGAGAACCAGGCCAGCTGAAGATTACCCAGGGAGCCCTGAAAGAACAAACTGCCTGCACACTGGATACAGCAAAGAAACTGGAAACAAAGAGGAAACCAGACAGAAGGAACAATAACAAACTCAAACGTAGTCCTTTGCAGCAGTGTTCCTAATGAACAAGATTTGGACAAGGTCAGATCACCATGCCACGGTAACTGAAACACCAGGCAACATCCCACTTGTAGCTGCATATATAGGTAAGAAGGGTGAGGGCACAGGATGCTACATGATCTAATTTATGTGCAGACTACTCCCCAGAGATAGAATCATAGAATAGTCAGTGTTGGAAAGGACCTTAAGATCATCCAGTGCCATCCCCCCTGCCACGGGCAGGAACACCACACACTAAACCATGTCACCCAAGGCTCTGTCCAACCTGGCCTCGAACACCACCAGCAATGGAGCATTCACAACCTCCTTGGGCAACCCATTCCAGTGCCTCACCACCCTTACAGTAAAGAACTTCTTCCTTAAGATAGATAAGCATAGCACTTACACTGTAAGATAGCACTTACACCTTCTTGCTTTCCCACTTCCTTCAGAAGGAGGCTAGTGATCACAAGGCTTTTAGTGCCCTAGCAATTCACAGGTTGATCAACTCACACCAAATATTAAGTGTGGCCTTAAAAAAAAGATATTCAGAACTGTTCTGAATGGCTCAAACACATTCAACACCTATAGAGAGATGGGATCTCAAGCCAGGACACAGATTCCAACACTGAATGTGTGACTGGCAGGATGCTAACAGCATCAGTTAACAGTTGACACACGGATGACAAGAGACAGCAGGAATAGCACCCCTGAACACAAAGCTTTCAAAGGCGGAGATAAAAATAGGTATCTCTGAAATAAACACTTAAGAGAAAGGCCAAGAGTTTAGTTTGGAGAAACGGAACTATGCCTGGAGCAGGCAGGCATACCTGCATGCAGGTAGCAGCTGAATGTGTACCAGCTATAAGTAATAAGCTGACAATCACAGCCCTCCTGAACACCATTTCCTCCCGCAGAGGACTGCTGGAGCACAGAAGACACACAATTTCAAGGACAGCAGGGCCAACACCAACAGTCAATTCAAGTCAAGAGAGGCCAGCCTCACAAGCTTCAGCTAGGAACAGAGCTAATGCTGGCTTCAGCACAACAGAAGAAATAAGTGCCAGGCTGGAGAGGGTCCAGGTATAAACCAGAGGAGAGTATTTAATGACGCACAGCCTGCACAATGAAAGGAGAGGCAGAGAGGAAGGGAGCTGGAGAGACAAGTGGGATCAAGTAGATTTTATCTACTTTTTAAGTCCTAGGAGAAATGAATACATATGAGAGAAGAACTAGGTAAGAGAGTGAGGGAAGTACCAAGAACTGGAACAAGGCATATCTGGAGGATACAAATAGTTGAACTAAACACAAATACCCTAAAGGCAATGTGGAGATGAGGATAAAGGTGTCAGCACAGGCACTGCACATCAAAAGGTGCAGGACAGAACTGAGTATTGTCCTGAAGGACGGATGGAGCGGAAAGCTATAGGGACTGTGGAAAGAATCTATATCTCCAACAGCAAGTACAAGAAAAATGTTTAGCTAAATCAGTCAAATTCCTAGGAACTGCACAATGAGGGTGATAACACAAAGGAGAGAAAAGGAACCAAGGAGAAAAAAACACAGGGGACTGAGATGGCAATGAGATGTTTTCATGCAGAAAACCTCCGACAAGGAGGTCACAAGGATTCTCAGTCCACTGAACTTTGACAAATCCTGCCAAACGCAGAGCAAGACTGTCACACCTGCACCTTCCTTCACCACGGAGTAAAGACTGCAGCTAACAGGGAAAATTTACCTTGGCACCTTATAAATGAATCTTCAGTAGCTTTTAAACTGCTGACAGCTTCAGTTAAAGAAAAACACAAGGAAAGAAGAGAGCACTCATTTCTTTGAACACTCAGAAATGCTCTTCTCAAGTCAATTACTTGTTGCTTGCAATACACCATTCTCTGCCTTTGTTGGTCCAGTTCTGTGCAGCCCTGAGATGTCCTCAACACCCTTCAAAGAGGACTAGGCCTGCAGGGATGTTTAATGCCACCCAGGCAGTGCTGGCAGCAGAGTGTAAAGGAGCACATTTGCTTCCTGTGCACCTGCCCAGATCTTGCTCTTTAGTCAGCCAGCAAAGCAGAGTGTGCTTATGCCACCCGATTAGTAGAGTACAGTTACTTCACAGGGCAAGTCAAGGTTGCTTGGGGAATGTAACTTAGCATTTTGTGTCTTCCTATTTATAAACATAACAATGCAGATGTTTTCTAAATATTTACTGAGAACTTCCATTCCACCAAGGAATCACTCTGGAAACACCCTCATCAAGCCACCCAAAGGGCAGATGAGCCCTGTGTACGTACCTGCTTGCCTCTAGGAACCCTTCAGAGGTGACTTACAGGTCCCAAAACATTCTGTTCCTCAATGATGATTCAGTAACAGAGGTGGACCTACATAGCAACCCTGTGTCTCATCTGTATGGAATTAGGCAAGAGTACTTCACAGCTTGAAGCACTCCAGAACTAAAATATGCAGCACAATACAGAATGATACTTTGCAGCTGCAAAATGTCAGCTCCAAGCTGCAAACTCCTGTCTCTAACAGTCCTTCTGCTACAAGGGGGCCAGCTACATTACAATTAAAGACAGCAATGTAAACTTGGCTATCCTCCTTACATAAACTACAGCTAATCAGCTGCTAACAAATTCCTGGCACTCCAGCAGTTGCGTCAATGTATGCCTAAAGGACCTTAAGTCTTTTTCCTTCAAGTGTCCACTCGTAGCCTTCCCAGAACAACATAACAGCAGTCAGCTGCCAGAGGAGGAACAAAGTCTCAACCAGAATATTCACCCACACAGTCACAACTTAAGAATGTCTTCAGAACAGGCTGTTCACTTAGTGACTAACCTGTACCTCTCACTTAGAAAGGCAGATCTTCATGACCAAAAAAATCCACACCCACTTCATTTTTAGCCACTTGGAGATACTGGCAGCCATCACAGTGAGAACAGAGGGGGGAAAAAAGCCCTCAGCATTAAGTAGCCTGGGTTTGTCCATGAGCAGAGCAGGCTACAGAAGCAGCCAGTGCCAGAATCCATCCCAGCAGCTTCTGATGGAAGCAAGGTCTATTGTCACTACCAGCTGCTTACTGCAAACAAAGCACAGGTTATCATACACTTTTAGTGGAAGAGTAAGGTATTTGTTAAATCAGGCATTAAAAGAACTAATCCACAACAGTACGGCACACGGCAGTGGAGGGAATGCCAGTCAGGCTTGTGCTGGGACTGGTTCCACTGCCATCTTGGTGCAATACTTAAAAACAAGCAGAAAACACTACCAGCCACTTCTATGCTTCTACATGTTTCCAAACTGAAGGAGGTGTAATCACATAATGGCAACTACCCTACAGCTGTGCCACTGACAAAGCATTCCCAGTGCCAGTTAGATGCCTAGGAGAGAGTGGCAGTCCTCATCTTACTGATCTGAAACAGTGGTGGTGAGGAAATGTGGAGCTTGAACTCTGCTTCTGAACATAAACCACTGTTTTATAGAAGCCCGAAGTACTGCATCAGCCTAAAGGGACTTTCCACTGTCTAATTCTGAAGAGCTCCATCACCATAATCAGTTTTGAACTCTCATTTGAAGCTAAACTCCTTTTTATATGCCACTGCACTCGGTGAGGTGTAGCCTACAGCTCAGAAGAAAGGAAAATAGAAAGCAAGTTCAGGCTCCTGCTGAACAATAACAAGGCACATCCCGTCTCGATGTAAGGGTGAAAGGTGTACAGATCCCTGCTCCTCCACACTTACCCTTTTCTTACTTCCCCAAGAACTCGCTTGGCAAATTGACACAAAAGACAGAGGAAAACAAGATTAAGACAAAGTTAAAAGCTTTACAGTCCCCATCTGATTGAGTATCCACTTAGTCCCGTTTTCAAAGTAAGCAAGTATTATGCAGTCAAGGTTTATGTGTTGGGATAATTAGCATTTGTTATCTTGCTCCTATTCTTTTCAGCATTAATCACATCTTTCAATGAAGTAGAGCTGTAAGTATGAGGTTGTCCTATTTTTCCATTAATATCGCAAAAAAGAAGAAATGCTTAACAATACACAGCAAAAGGGACGCTACAGAACAAACTCAGCTTTTTAGACATCAAAGCAGTCACTGAACAAAGCCACAAGGCAGAATTATCAGGCTTGCAGCTTACACAACTATCATTAATGCCCAGAACCATCCCCACCACCCACAACAGCTTCAGGCTGCAATTTTCCCCAGGTAGTTTTGATGCCTTAAGATTCAGTCCCCATTTTCACATAGACAAGCAGGTTAATTTCCGTTCTCTTTGTCCCTTTGGAAAGGGAAGCTTTAAACCATGTCTGCTTTTTCACACCCTTGAGCCCCACTGACTACTGACAATGAAATTAGTCTATTTATTTTCATTTAACATTTAAAAAGAGAGCTCAAAGCAGTCATATAATTAACCTTACAAGTAACACATCCAGCAGCATAATACTAATAGACCAATCAGTTAAAATTAACCAACCAGCACCATTTTTACCCTTCAGTTATTTAATTCAGTCCATTAACAAAATAGAAACATGTTCCCAAATCCGATCCCAAAAAAGGTTTCCTCCATTTTACCACTACTGTCCTTAAGTCCCCTGTCAGGTGAACAGCATTTATCCTCACAACATGTCAGAGGCCAAGTGTTATTTGCTCCACTTTAGAGAAGCAGTCAGAGCTGCAGTACAGAGAGCACGTGACAGACCCGAAGTCTGGGGTCTAAGGCACAGCTCTGACTATGCCCCTTAGGTCTTAGACTTGCATCCTCAGCACTGGAGCTCCCTTTATTGTTTCTCATTCCGTCCATTCCTGCCTTCCCTCCTTCCCTTCCCACAGGCCTTCCTTTCAAAACAGCGATGATCTCAAAGATTATCAGGAGTACAGTCATCGTAATTTTATGCAAGGAGGTTTTCCAAAGATTCTGAAAGGCCATGAAGAATGAAAGGCTGAAACACAGTTCTGCCCAGTTTGTGATGGGTTTATACATTACTATATAAAAGGCTTTGCCTCACCTGGTGACCATGAAGAGTATACAGAAGTCTTCCTTCTAGCAAGTCCAGAATTTTAAGGGTTGAATCATTGGAAGCAGTAACCAGATAGTTTCCAGAGGGGTGAAAGGAAAGACTGTTTACCACAGCACTGTGCACTGAGGGTGGAAAAAACATATATAATAGTCACTGAGACTGGTTTACATAAGCCCAAGGAAAAAAAAATAAAGTACAACCACATTTCAATTTTCTGTTATAAAGTTTAACAGGAAAATTATCATGGGGGAAACATTCCACAGAAACTCTTCAAAGCACCAGAGAACAAGGGCAGCACTCAATTCTTGTAAAAATAGGAATTAGTTTATTGAAAGGAAAAAGGAAGCTTTGCCAATTATTCGGGGAGATTTAAGGCTACAAAAGCTTCCAGCATAGTCCCCAAATGTAACTCTATACCCAAGTGAGCTATATGATTCTGTGAGAGAGCTGGACATTGACATGGTTTACTACTGTGGAGCTGCTGTTTTCACTCCCACGTCATCCTAGAATAAAATCTATATGGTAGTACATTACAGAGAAGACAAATTACAGCGAAAGGCATACTCAAAGTTGGCATTGCACAGGTTCTTTTGGCTTACTACTCAACTTGAACCAAGACTGGATTTAAGAGAAAGCAGGAAAAAGAACCTGCAACTTGAGAATGGGCCAGTATAAGCATTATTTCTTCAGACATCCAATTTGTCTCACCAAAAACTTAAAACTAGTATGAAAGCTGGAAGTTCACACTCTTGATTGTCTAAAGCAATCCTTTCTGTGTGAAGATGAAGCCCAAGAGTTATTTTGAAAAGAGCTAAAGAAAATACTCTATGAAGAGAGTCAAACTAACCCTAAGTTCACTGTAACATTAAACATTTACTTGTAGGGCTTTTCTTTTTTTCCCCTCCCCAAACTGAAATAAATCTGTTCAGTAGCTTGTTTTATGAAAAATACGTAGCACTTTACATACGTAGAGCTTTCTGAGCCTATGTGACATTAAGATCACGCCTGAAGAGTTTTAACAATCCAATTATTCTTACAGTTCTACTGTATGCCCTCAAAATGTTCTGGTATCTTGAATCTACTACTCCTAATACACCCCCCTCCAACTGAATTATATTCCTTTAAGAGTCTAATGTACACTTCAAAACCAAACCGTATGTTAAAATGTTAATAGATATTAATGGTTGTTAATTAGATATTAATAGATGTTAATAGATAGCAGTAGCCTCGAGAACATAAAGAAGGACTACAGAGCCCTGGGAGATGTGGTATGGGGCTCTGGAGCTCAGATTGTCTTTTCATCAATTCTCCAGGATACAGGGGAGGACCTTAAAAAGGCTAGGAGGACTGGCCAGGTTAGAACGATGGTGCTGTAGTCAGGGGTTTGGGCGTCTTGAACATGGCACCCAAGTTTGTAGGCCAGGTCTTGGTAGGAGGCTTGCCAGACTGGTCAAGGAGGCTTTAAACTAGATGTGTTGGGGGAGGGGGGCATCATTCCATCCCAACACACCCAGTCAGTTGCCAGCACCTATAATAAATGCTTGGAGCAATGCAGAGATATCCCAGCTGCACCAGCCAATGAGCCGGCTTCATCTGGAGCTTGGCTCAGATGCCTCTATGCAAATGCCCGTAGCATGGGGAACAAACAAGAGGAGTTAGAGATGTGTGCACGTCTATGGGGGTATGATATAATAGGCATTCCAGAAACATGGTGGGATGACTCGTCTCTAAACCGGAGAGATATTAATTTGATGGATGGATGGACCACTCGGTGGATAAAGAACTGGCTGGATGGCCGCACACAAAGAGTTGTGGTCAATGGCTCAGTGTCCAGCTGGAGACCAGTAACGAGTGGGGTCCCTCAGGGATCGGTGTTGGGACCGGTCTTGTTCAACATCTTCGTCGCTGACATGGACAGTGGGATTGAGTGCGCCCTCAGCGAGTTTGCTGATGGCACCAAGCTGCGTGGTTCAGTTGATAGCTGGAGGGAAGGAATGCCATCCAGAGGGATTTAGATTAGATATCAGGAAGAAATACTTCACTATGAAGCTGGTGAGATGCTGGAACAGGTTGCCCTTAGAAGTTGTGGCTGCTCATCCCTGGAAGTTCAAGGCCAGGCTGGATGGGGCTTTGAGAAACCTGGTCTAGTGGAAGGTGTTTTTGCCCATGTCAGATGGGTTGGAACTAGATGATCTTAAAGGTCCTCTCAAATCCATTCTGTGACACATAAAAGACCTCAAAATACAATTTTAAAGGATACTAGAACCAAACATTTGTTTTGCAGGTGTGGATTTGAAGCGGAGATGTGAAACAGCCTCAATAGTTCAACTGTAAACCAGAATGCATCAACGTTTGAAACTCTCAGGAGCATCAGATACCTCAGCTCAGGTTCTGGGAATGTAACTCTTCTTGATTTGGACTATTAAGAAAACAGAAGAAAGCCTTAACTCACAAAGGTAACTTCTGAACAGTTATTCTTGTTGGTGCTAGATCTTCCTCTACCCCCAGCCCTGTGTTACACTATGTATTGAAAGGGAAAAAGCCTATGTGGAGTTTTTCTTCTTGAAAGAATGTTAACTACATTTGTCCTCTGAAAATTGTATTCTGAGTGATTTTTAATATTCCTCACTCCATTAGTGTCTAAATTCAGATAAATATAAACATATGTTGCTAACTAAAACAAATCCTGAAAGGAATCACATCAGAAACAGACAAAACTAACCAACTTCCAGATAGTGAATAAACTATTTTCAGTTTTACCAAAAAAAAACCTTTTCATAATGAAAAGAAATGCCATAGCATCTGGCTATGTAATCAGTAGAAGCTTCTGTGCCCAAGGAGTTCTTGGCTGTTGGAAGCCATTTCTTCATGTCTCTTCTGCCAAACCAGCTCATAACCTCCTACATGACCATTCACACAACTCTCCAAAAACTTGCCAACACATCCTGCAACCTCACTTGATTCATGTTGTAAACAGTAAATGCAGTGCAGCACAAGGTGGCATCTCCCACTGACTTGCTGCTACAAGCCTACCCTTCTGCCAGCCAAGCTCTAGAAATATAACAGCCAGTTAAGAGACTTATACTGGGGGGGTTAATGACTAAAACTGAGTTATGCCAGCCTGTAAACGGACTGAACATAACTGTCTCAAGTCTGACAACACTACTTTGAATGCAACAACATAGTAACCACCAGTGAGAAGTTAGGATGGACTTGACACAGCCACAGTTCCTAGTGAACAGATAATGACATCGAAGCCCCATCTGAACTGCAGGAAAGCACCAATTTTTCTTTTTAAACAGCAATTAATAAAAGGTTAGAGCTGTTTCCATAGACCTGCAAAAGAGGTGCTCCCTCCCCAGCTTTGCACAGGGAATAAATGCCAGGCAATAAACACTGGCCATTTTTGCAGGGGAATCATAGAATAGTCAGGGTTGGAAATGATCTTAAGATCATCCAGTGCCAACCCCCCTGCCATGGGCAGGGACACCTCACACTAAACCATCTCACCCAAGGCTCTGTCCAACCTGGCCTTGAACACTGCCAGGGATGGAGCATTCACAACCTCCCTGGGCAACCCATTCCAGTGCCTCACCACCCTCACAGGAAAGAATTTCCTCCTTAGATCCAATCTAAATTTCCCCTGTTTAAGTTTGAACCCGTTACCCCTTGTCCTGTCACTGCAGTCCCTAATGAAGAGTCCCTCCCCAGCATCCCTATAGGCCCCCTTCAGATACTGGAAGGCTGCTATGAGGTCTCCACGCAGCCTTCCCTTCTCCAGGCTGAACAGCCCCAACTTTCTCAGCCTGTCTTCATACAGGAGGTGCTCCATTCCCCTGATCATCCTCGTGGCCTCCTCTGGACTTGTTCCAACAGTTCCATGTCCTTTTTATATGATGCGCTGTACAAGAAAGCACCAAGTAGAGGACTGAATAAAACATCTGCCTCTTCTCCTGTACAGTTACCATGACCAGAGCATACTTTACTCTGCTAAAAAACACCCACATGATCCAGAAAGTTTTGCAGTTTGCCATTTCCAACTTTCATTTATGAAAGTCACAGTGGGAACAAGTCCTGGCAGCAAGAGCAACACTTCTAAAAGACTAATCAGTTTTGGAAAACAACCCAACTTGAAACACGCAAGAGCCCGTGGCAGGACTACTTAGCTCTTAATTCCTCAATGCCACTCAATCCTTAAAATGGATTCCCTTGAAACCAGGCAGCATAAGCACATACTGAAGGACGGGATGCCCTCTAGTGGGAATGATATGGGAGTTTCACTTGCGAGAGCACAAAACTCAACCTGGTTTAGCCAACAGGCACGTGTATAAACCCTCAGAAGAGCAGGATTTTTCTCCCATCCACAGAATGCTACAAACACATGAGTTTGCAGCCACAGGTGCATAAAGTGACTGCATACAGCTACCACTGCAATTTTAGGTTTCTTTGAACTAGAAATAGTAATAAAAGCCAAAACTTAACACACAATTAGGATTTACACAGGAGCTCTTAAAAATAACACTTGTAACAGGAAAAGATCTCTTCAATAGCAAGGCTGTTGGACTAAAATGCCATTCAGTGAGGGTGGGATACAGAGGTAATATAATTCCCAAACGCAAAATAGAAGCCTGGCAGTCAAACCTAAACCACATTAGATTCTGACAATTTAATAGCAGCAAGTGGAAAGCAGGAAGAGAGATTTTTGAGCCAAGTTATACTGGGGCTGGAAACACACACTGCAGATCATGCCACTGGCGAAAAGCTGATAAGGAGAATCTGACACTGTTGAAGTATTTAAACATACCTCGTATTTTAGCAACAAGACTTCAGGAAGGCATTCCCAAGTTTTGATATGGGTCAGTAGTTCACAGTATTTACTACATAAAGAATGACAATTCAGTATTCATCACTAATTGTATCAGTTCAATACTGATGAATTGGAACAACAGTCACCAAAAGATCTGATTTCCGTTAGATTTTGTTGGCTCTCAGAGAACTGGGAGTGATTTTGAGTCCATGAAAATAACTGAAGGAATTAAAGAAACATAAATTACATTAGATAAAGAGTTCAGAGAGTGCTCGACTTGGCTACACAGCGAGAATACACTTGAGGATCACCGCACAAGCCAGGAATAAAACACACTGCAGGAGCAGGAAGCTGAAGCTAGAAATAAAGAAAAGCCTGTTCCAATCATAGTAGTGTCACCATCAGTGCTTAATAGTCAGATCAGATGATCACAACAGTAATGCCACCTACATGCAAAGGTCAAAAGAACAGCAGAACTATGAAAGCATTCTAAAGTTTGCAGACTGTTTCTACTCCACGGCAGCCCCTTTTTGGGGAGCTTTTATTTACTTTTCTTATGGAACCCAAGGGCTTTTCATAATCTTAATAGCTTCTCTGCAGACAATCTGCATTTGCTTTGAGATGAGTTACCCCCACTGCCCTTACCTGCCAGAGGAGGTTCTAGTCTTTCATAGGAGGTTGCTGTGAAGGAAGACAAACCTAAGAACTCTGCTCCTTAAACATCACTGCCTTTCCTCTGCTCTTCTTTATCAAGATAAACCAGAAACTTGTATTGAGATCCTGCAAATTCTTTTAATGCCTTGTGAATAAAGGGGTACACAGTCAAAAGCACCTTAGAAAATAATTTTAGTTACATAAAGGCAGCAGGACCAACAGCTTTCATTTAGAACTCAATATTTGTGTCTTAACTTGCAAAGTTTGCAGGAATTAACTGCAAGCTCTTACTACTCTGCCTTTTCTGCCTGGCATTCAGCTGGAACAGACAGCATCTGCTGCAGTGGGCAGAAAGAACAATATACCAAGCTCCAGCCCAGTACCTCTCATCTGCTTTACTAGCCCGCAGGAAGCAGTCTTCATGAAAAGCTAGCAAAATTCAGTTTAATAAGCTATCTATACTGGAAACAGTGCTTGAGAATGTATAAATTTCTAAAATACTACAGCCGCCCTAAAAATTCTTACCAGTAAGGGAAAGAAAAGCCATGTTTAGGCTCAAGAAACTAATATGCACAAAACAGGACTACCAAACTCAAAGAAGCTTGCATGGATGAGAAAGCACCTTTTCCTATCCAGTTCCACCAACGAGCAGCACTGATCACTTTGACAAGAACAGGTAATGGGAGGACATGACATTTGGAAGCTAAGGGGAAAAAAGAATAAGAAAAGGTTTATACTCCTAAATATAAAATCTACTCCAAGAACAAGCCCATCTGGGCAAGTCACGCCAAAGTCAAAGCTAATTCTGGAAGCTGAAAACAGAGCAGATACTAGAGGAAAAAACAGGATGATGGTAAAGAATTGCAACTGGTTGATTCAGATTTTCCTCTTTTGTTAAATTTTCCTAGTTTTCTCATTAAGACCTTATCCTTTTGGCTTGCTGGAATGCATCTGACTCCTCCTATAGGCTTATTCAGAAACAAAGGCCACATCCTTTTTATTGCACATCTCAAGAGCAGTGAATACAAGCCAAGAGACATTGCAGATAACAGCTGTGCTCATCTGCAACAGGGGACAGTTTCAGCATCTGACCTTTCTGCTTTTTGAAGGCGGGCAGAGGAGGAGAAATCAGAAGAGAAGCGTTTCTCACCTATGTGTGAGAATCGGTCTTGGAGCTAACACAAAGCAAAGCACGATTTTGGGAGTAAAAAAGGTCCCACTGGCAGACCTAACCCAGTCCCTTTCTGGCAAGGCAGCAAGTGATAGAGAAACAGTCCCTGGACTTGAGAACGATCCACATCAACACGTGGAAAGGTCCAATTTCTCTGTGATCTTAACTTGCCTTGGTAATGTTGGAGAAGTCTGTTCATCCTAACATCCCACACCTTCACTGTGTTGTCTGTACCAGCCGCAGCAATGCAGGTACCACTGGGATGAAAATCCACATGATTCACAAACCTGTAAATTGCAGTTAAATCCAGCTGTTTACATTCAACTCTTGCTGAAGCTCAAAAAGGTCTTTTTAAGAAGCGAAGCTACATCATAATGCATTGAACATTACAGGAATGAGGAGATAACCTGAAAACTCATATTGCTGAATTTCACTTAAGACCTTCCTTATAACTCAAAATAGACTGCAGGATTAAATCTAAGCAGACCATCTTCAAGGTTTTGCATGATAGGTGTAGGAGCTGGCGCTACAAGCCTCCTGAAATCTGTTGGATCCAACTGTCACAACAACATTTTCAAGTGTACATTTAATGCTTGCAAAATTTATGTTTTCTATTAAATTAACAGGATTTCTAGAGCGGTGTGTACAAGACTGAACACGTATTTTCTTTGCTTAACTGATTTTAAGCTGGAACTTACTGTGTGCCTAAAAACATAAATTTATCACTTGGAAGGTAGCGAGGCTGAGATCAAATTCCTTTCTGGACCTGTATGCTATCCATTTTTATTTCGGAGACACAAGTACGCTAAAACCTTCAGAACCTTCAGTGAAGAGCATCTCACCCAATCCACACAAGGAATGGCATAGAATTAATTCTCCTTTGAGTGTTCTTAGAACAAACACTGAGGAAGTTGAGATATTTCAACAGATTCTTAAGAGCACTAGAAAAATAATGTCTGAATTTGTCTTACCATCATTGTATATCATCTGGAAAGAACACAACTTTGTACTTAACAAAAATCAGTGCAGCAAGAAATTAGGAAGATTCCAGTGTCAGATCTCTAAGAGCTTGTTTTGTGATTCTGGATGAATTAACTTCTGTCAGAGATCAATATTTTCCATGGGGAAAAAAAAACCAAAACAAATTCCAATTCAACAGCTGCTTTTCTGAATACAAAGTGGGTTTTGGAATAACCCTGTTATTCAAAAATGCGAGCATTCAAGTAACATCGCTCAGTACACTTTTGCTCTTTTAAGTTACTTCAACTCAGAGCAAAATAAAAGACCTCAACATAGCTGGAAGAAGAAATAAAGAAGTTAAGATCTCCACAAATAAGTAACCATAAAGAAACTAAGGCTTGACATGTTGAACAGCTACTGAAATATAACCTTCAAGGTTCTAATCTGGAGAAATCATTAAAGGGTCAAAACAATCCTGGAAGCTCTTTTTGAATCTCATCCTCTACTGGCTGTTTCTGTAGTAGGTGCTAATGATATTTTTTAAGAGGTAGAAATGTCTGCCAGGGCAAGGGGCTCTGACTGCAGTCACCAAACCAGCTGTACATTCACCAGGCAGCCCCATTTCAGAGATCACAGAAGGCTGGTCCTCGTGCATCGCCAGGTACTCACCCCCCATGCTCACAGAAGGAGTGTATACATTCTCTGCTGGTTTTGTCCCACAGTTTGACAGTTTTATCATCGCTGGCTGACACTATCAACCGTCCATCAGGAGAGAATCTAAGATAAGAGTTACAGAGATTAAGAAATGCATGTGGTCAACTGGATTTGGTCAGCTGTGAAGGTATGCTGGTAAACACACCTCACTCTTCATGAAGTCACACTGGCATTAATAAGATTAAAAATCCAGTCACTGTAAATTGAGGAAAGAAAAAAAGAAAAGAGCAGGCCATAAGTCCTCATATATCCCTAATGCCACAAGCACATAAAATAACTCTCAGGAATGTCTTGAGTCCGATTTAAGTTCTCCTGTCCTACTTGTTTCAATTTAAGTGTACCTCGAATTGTTTCTCTACCCTAATTCAAAACAATTGCCACCTTTGCCACAAGCATTCAGAGCAATACAATTACTCTCAAGATAACAGCTACAGCAGGAGAAGCTTCAGCATTCAAGTGCCTTAGAAGACTGTATTAAGCTCATATCTCAGTATTTCCTGTACAAGACAGATCAGTATGTCTTCAGAGGTATACATTTTACTGGAACAGGACTCAAGTACCTAACTAGAGATCATCATCATCCACACCAGAAAAACATGCTTTCTGCTCTGCTGCAGACATCTACAGTACTACCTGCCACTGCTACATTCAAGAAGTGTAATGAACTTTTCCCCTACAGAGAAGCTGTGGGTTTGTCCTAGATGCATATATACATAAAAACTCATGAGACACTTGAATCATCCTGAATACAAATGTGTTGAGAAGACGTTTATAGTCAGTCTCTGCTTTGAGGGATAAATCCCCATCTGTCAGAAAGCTGTACTCACCTGGCACAGCGAACCCAGTTTATGTGTTGACTGAGTGAGAACAGAAACTTCTGCCTGTGAACTGTCCACACTTTGACTGTTTTGTCATCGGAAGCTGTAACTAAGGACTGGCCATCACTGGAGAAATTAACACTTCTTACAGTTGCTGTATGAGCCTTGAACACAGTAGATTCTCCTTTGCTACAGTGAAGGAAAGAGCACTTTAAAACCACACAGAAGGGGAGCAAAGATATTATGTACCTGAAAACACAAAGCTTCTGTTTGTATTAACCACCACTTCTATAAGAACTGCATGTGCTTACATTAGGAATTAAACACTGATCAAACCCAAACAAACTGATGCTTTGTGAGCTATACAGGATACATAAGTAAAACCAGCTGTTCTAGTTCAACCAGAAACCAGAGCCCAATCCAACAGGAACCCGATGTTTCCTATAAAGGGAAAAAAAAGCTATTGCTTATTTGTTCAACCATTTAAAACAGTATTTATGGAAATATCAATACAGAAGATGCTGAGATTCTGTACTGTTACCAGGTTCTTTGCTGCAGGCAGGTGAGAGGGAGGTAAGTGTTTTCAGAGTTCATCTAGACGAAGCCAAGTGGGCAACGGCCTCACAACTGTCCCTGTACTGGCCCATACTCCAGCTCAGCACTTTTGATGCAGCACCACACAAGAAATAACTCAACTGAATTCAGCATGCCTGATGTTGTACAACTCTGAGCAAGCCACCATTCACCCAGACAGGCAAGACAAAAGACAACGTACAGTTATTCCTTTTTACCCATGATTTCCAAATGAATGCAAGAGACATTCCTCTGGCAAATAAATGCAAGGCATGCTTAGAGATCCAACAGGTCCCTTTGTATGGGATTCTTGGTCTAAAATATGTCTCCAGCATGTACTGTACTACCAGGAGCTCCATATTCACAGACAGAAGAGAACAAGAGAAAGACATGGTGGTTTGCTCTCTTCTCCTTTAGGATTTAACAGGCTTTATACTGAGACTATTAAAACTTTAAAGGCCAGGAAATCAAAATACTACATACCTTCAGCAATATTCCCTCCCTCCTCAGAAAAGGTCACAGCTGCCTAGCTTAATTTAATCCTTTATCTGCCAGAAGGCAAGGAACAGTAAAGGTTACCTCTCAGAAAAGTTTCCCTTCTGTCCAAAACCACAGAACATCCCCAAATCTGACAAACACTCATGAAGAAAACAACAAAGTTCTGTCAGCAGGGCTCAAAATAAACAAATCCCAAAGACAGAAATCGCATGCCAGGAAGGTGTTAACTCCTTCAGTAACATAACACCCTTGAAAGGCACCACAAGTTTTCAGATTCTTTGGAAGCAGTGTCTTCACCCATAGACCATGGGGCTGCTTCTCCCTCCCCTTTTACTGAAAGTGCAACACTGGTAAGCTGAAGGTCTCAAACCTGATGTTGATCAAAGAGGACTTTTTGTTGTTATATTTATGTTTCAGCATCTTGCTTAACACTGCCAGAGAAGCAAAGGATGGATTTGCTAGGAGGAAAGACAAACTGGGAGAAAAGGGAAGAGAAAAATCCAGCAGTTCACCACTGATGAGTTACGTGAGCGACCTCTTAATCAGCACAGGAAGTTAATACTAAGCTTTGCAAAGGATTTTAGTTTTGTTTCCAGTGCAATTTCAAAACCAAAGCACCTCTCCTTTATAACAGCTGTCACATAAAATGTTTTTTTCTGTCCCTCAAACAGATCCCAGTCCCATAGCTGGAGAACTGCTATCAGAAAGCAAGGAGGAATCCCAACCCACAGTTAAAACACCACAAGAGACATTGAAGAGAATAAATACTTACACACTGGGAACCCATAAACGGACTGTTTTGTCTCTAGAGCCTGAAGCCACAAGGTGACCAGAAGGTGAAAACTGAACACACATCACTGCATCTTTGTGGCCCACAAAGCGATAGGCTCTCATCTGAGGTCTCATATTCCAGATCATCAGGCACGAATCCATTGAGCCACTTGCTGAAATACAAAGTAAAAACAAAGCCACACAAAAACAAACTTGCATTAATTCCCCTCCACTTACACTGAAACTACATTTCATACTCAGTTCACCATCACAGCTTCTAGAATCTCAAGCACCTTGTCCTCAAAGCTTCAAAGTACTGCATATTGTATATTTCACTGTTAATTCAAACAAAGTCAGTCGTGCATTGGCTTGGACTGACAACTTCCAAGAGTCAGGTCATGCAACAGCTGCAGAAGCAAAAGCCACACAAGTTGCAAAACTCCTTCCACATAAACACACACTAAGGAAACACAGAGGAAGTCGTGAACGAAGGTGTTCATATCACTTTTTAAATTGGGAAGCAAGGACAGCTATCAGCTGCAACAGATTCAATATCACGTAACATACTACAGATTAAGCAGAGAAGTGCTGCAAGTTGGTGACTGAAAGGCAACTCAGCCACATCACCCTCCCATCCATCTCCTTTACTGCAAAAGGTTGATCACATTCAGCTCAGCAGTTCTTATATATATGAAAAACACAAGCTTGCAACACAACTAGAGCAGTGTTCAGTTCGCTATTACCAGGAAAGGTCTGCAGGACTTGATGGCTTTAAGGAACTACAGATGGAGATGCGGTCCCTCCATCTCTTCACACTGACTCTTTGACTCATGCCTACTTCTGTACTCATTTGTGGGAATGAAAAAACAACCGAACAACAACAACCACAACTTGCCTTTACTCTTGGGCTTCTGAGAACGGAGTGCAAGAGGGCAAAGGCATGCTCCAAAGACAGGAAGAAGAGAAAGGGCTGGAGGGAGACCCCAGAGGGCAAACACTTTACTTAGAGGAAAGTGGCCAATCCTCAAGACAGATGCTGCTTTTTCAAGATCACCCTCAGCAGCAAGAGCAAAGGGTCACTTAAGCTACATCACCCTCTCTATCTGACAGGAGCTGTATCAGTCCCTGCCAAGAATACCAGGCAACAGGATTCCTAAACACAAGAGTAAATTCCACTTCAGTCTAAAACTCCCCTGCCCAGGTCCCATCACCAACTCAGAGCAGTGAAAATCACCCTAGTGACTGGAAAAAGAGTAAACATATGCCTGCGGTAACTTAAAGTCTCAAACAAATACTCCTTCAAATCAATTCTAATGCCTAAATAACAGAAAACTTTGTAGATTTTTCCAGAGGCAAACACAGAATATATGCATCCTAGCCTGCCAACAAACCCAAGCTGCTTCTGTACTTCTCTACCCGAGTGCCAAGTGGGGCACATCTTCAGGGAAAGCTTATGATGTTCCTAGAAAAAAAAGAGCAGTTTGATGGTAGGTTTTGACATAGCAGGACCATAATTACAAGAATATTTCACTTCATTGGTGATATGGCAAAACACCAAACAGATTTTGCTGGAAATGTCCTATTTCAGTTATTTCAACACAAAAAAATAATTGTCATCCCTCTTCCTGTTATTGATTTGGGATTCATATATGCATAATGAATGAACCTGTTTGGAATGGGCATGTTCCCTACGAGAAAAAAGTCCTTACTTGTCAGTTCAGTTGTTTCTGTTTGGGTTTGTATTTTATATGTTTCCTTACAAATATTGAAATTTAAGGGGTGACAACTGTGTAAAAGTAGACTGAGCTGCAGTTCAGTGTCAAGAGGTTTGAATGTTAGTCACAACTACACCAAGTCATTGCCTCGCAAGGATCCCAAGTTGTAGTAGGACAGCTTCCCCCAGACTGATGTTAAAAAATTCAAGGAAAAGAATGCTCTGACATCTCAATAAAGCACTTCAGTATCATGCTGCTTATATGCGACTTGTTTGCAATAACAATTACTGGGCTGGGCAAGCACTCTAATGGAACAAAGACCAAGTCCTCTAGGTTTGGTTGTTTTATTTCGCAGGGCAGGAACAGGGAAAAACAACTTCAAAATCTCCTAAGTCTGACCCAGCAGTACCTAAAAAATAAAAATCCTCAGAATTTGTTCCCTTTCTTACCCGATGTAATTTATCAAAAATATTAAGAACATCTATTTCACCACCCAGATGGAGGCAACAAAAGCCCCTTTACTACTTCTGGAAGGCCATTCAAAATAACACTAAATTACATTCAAAGCACCCTTGCTAAACAAAGATCTGCACTGACTGGATAAAGATTTAGGGGTACACAAACAGAATCACGGACGCAGAGCAGAGCCAGATCTTGCTCTGCACTCAAAAACACAGGAAGTGGAAAGGAAAAGAGAGCAGACAGTAAAAACAGCAACAGGGAGGAAGGATCCAAGACAAGTTTGATTCCTTTTCACTTCCTTATAGCTTCCAGAGCATTGTGTAGGTTGCAAGATCCAAAACAGGATTATTACCCACCAGACAGCTGCATTTCCATGTACTCATGCCTGATGTGCCCAATGCCTCAAAACTATCATTTCTGCCTTATCTTCTCTGTGAGTCCACCATGCCACACAGCAACTTCACCAAGAGCTAAAACCCCTCCTGATTCCTACCTCAATGCACACACAGTGGGTTACTGAACAGTAACTAGGACACAGGCCTTGGCATGACCACAAACAGCTGTCTAATGGGGAGAAATGAAAGATGGAGAAGAAAAAGTAAGATTTTGCCTTAAGCTGCCCTACTGCATGGTAAGGCCAGGTATGGGAAACAATAAGTTACGGTAGATGTCCCTAAAGCTCTAGCAGGATGCACACTATCTGCCACCCTATGGTTCAACAACAGGGTTCATTTTCAAAGCACATAGAGAGAGGTTCATCCTGAAAATCTCCAAAATCTCTTCGTCATGAAAACAAGTTCTTTCCTCTTGTAAAGCTCAGTACCTCCACTGCTCCCTCTGTTTAACTAAAAGAGAGAATCTCTTTACCATCTGGCCATCAAAACACAGAGACAATTTACCCAATTGTTTCTTATTGAGACTGAAGTCCACGCTAGTGACAGCATCTCTGTGGCCTTTGAAGTGTCTCTCCAGGGACGGATCTTCCTAGAAGACAATAATGTTCAAGCACTATAGATTAATAATCACTTTTGCACAATAACACTATTTTACTTCTATGACAAGTGAGCCAGGCCACATACTCATCAGGTAGAGACAAGAACACTGTGCAACACAAAATGCACATCACATGTATCAACAAACTTGAAGAGGCAAATGGTCCAAGCCGATAACCCCCCTGGACCTTCGGTGACTTGCATGAGCGATCCATGCACTTTAACAACATGCCGCTGGAACAGAGATCCCAAAGCTGACTTTGGAACAGATCAGCTGTGTGTCAGTGACCACCTGAACAAGCAGTCAAGCTCAGCTTCACTGAGAGCTGCTCATCTCAGCCCAGGTGTAGCCAGGAGGCCACTGTTAGCACAGAAGGGACACATTTGCAAGACTTAACACACCTGTTGAAACAGACACGTAGAAACAGAACTGCAGCAAAACAGACTGAGCCCCTACCCCTTCCCTAGGGCTGGGAAACACAGCATTTCCCTACCCAGCACCTTGCTGCAAAGGCCAAGCAAAGCCTGAAGTCAGGGGAGAAGAGAAAAAAAAAGGAGAAGGGAAAAAAATAAACCAAATGAACCAAACACAGCACACAGAGAACCACTACAGCAGCCTGTAACACCTGAACACTGTCCAGACTTCAGAATGGGCTCATCAGCCTTCAATCCCCGCTCTCATGCACACAGCCTCTGCTTCCCTGGCAAGTCCCCACCACAGCCTGCTCCCCCCAGGAGCTGACTGCAACTCCAGCCTCGTCAAACAAGCACCTGATGCGCAGATAAACTCCACGACTCGTTAAAAGTTGTAAAGTAGCAAGCAAATTCCTCTAACCCCCTTGTACAACCCCCCTGTACAACCCCCCCCCGTACATTGGTCAACCCTCTGCATCACAACCAGCTCCAGAAGAAGGGGGCTGACACCCTCCCACAACACCCACCACCAGCCCTCCCCACATCCGGAGCCCCCGCACTATTCCCCCCCCCCCCAAACACAGACCCATCCTGCTGCAGCAGCACCCCAAGCCCCAGCAGCATTAAGCTCCCCCAGCTCCAGCACTGCGGAGCCTACAGCACTAAAGCCTCCCCTAAACCTACCACTGCTTCCCGCTACCCCCAGTCTCGGAGCTCCCCCAGGCCTTCCCTCGCACGGGCCGGCAGCACCAGCACCACGCCCGCCTTCTCCCTCACCCAAAGCTCCACCCCGGAGCCCAGCGCCCCCCGCACCACCCGTCCCCAGAGCCAGGACCCCCCCGCACCACCCGTCCCCAGAGCCAGGACCCCCCAGCACCACCCGTCCCCAGAGCCAGGACCCCCCAGCACCACCCGTCCCCAGAGCCAGGACCCCCCCCAGCACCACCCGTCCCCAGAGCCAGGACCCCCCAGCACCACCCGTCCCCAGTGCCAGGACCCCCCAGCACCACCCGTCCCCAGAGCCAGGACCCCCCAGCACCACCCGTCCCCAGTGCCAGGACCCCCCAGCACCACCCGTCCCCAGAGCCAGGACCCCCCAGCACCCACCCGTCCCCAGAGCCAGGACCCCCCCGCACCACCCGTCCCCAGAGCCAGGACCCCCCCGCACCACCCGTCCCCAGAGGCCGGAGCCCCGCTCCCCCCCGCAGCACTCATCCCTCACCCCGCAGCCGGCGGCCATGGCGGCTCCCGCGCGCCGCACTTCAGTTCTCGCGCGTCCCGCGGCCCGCAGCAACGGTTCCGCCCTCGCAGGAGCCGGAAGAGGAGAGCTGCGGCACTTCCGGCCGGGGCGGCGCCGTTAAGGGTCCGGCTCCCCGGTCCCGGCAGGGGCAGCAGCCGCAGCCGCAGCCGCAGCCGCAGCGTGCCAACACACAGCGGGCCGGGTCGGAACAGGCCTGACAGGAAGGGCCGGGAGAGTCGGGTCCTCTGAATACATCCGGCCTTGTCTTGAGGGTGCCCAGTGCTGTTACGGGAGTCTCTTCGCTGTTACAGCAGTCCTTACAGTGTTTTGGCTTTGTTAATGTGTATTAGTTAACGTTATACGCTTGTGAGGTGGGCTGATGCCAACCTCATGAGGTTTAACCATGCCAAGTGCAAGGTCCTACACCTGGGTGGGAGCAATCCCAGGCACAGCTACAGGTTGGGCAGAGAAGAGATTCAGAGCAGCCCAAGGAGAAGGACTTCGGGGTGTTGGCTGATGAGAAAATGAACATGAGGCGGCTTCAGTGTGTGCTTGCAGCCCAGAAACCAACCGTATCCTGGGCTGCATCCAAAGGAGCGTGACCAGCAGGTTGAAGGAGGTGATCCTGCCCCTCTGCTCTGCTCTCGTGAGACCTCACCTGGAGCATTGTGTGCAGTTCTGGTGTCCTCAACATAAAAAGGACATGGAACTGTTGGAACAAGTCCAGAGGAGGCCACGAGGATGATCAGGGACTGGAGCACCTCCTGTATGAAGACAGGGTGAGGAAGTTGGGGCTGTTCAGCCTGGAGAAGAGAAGCTGCGTGGAGACCTCATAGCAGCCTTCCAGTATCTGAAGGGGGGCTATAGGGATGCTGGGGAGGGACTCCTCATTAGGGACTGCACTGACAGGACAAGGGGTAACGGGTTCAAACTGAAACAGGGGAAGTTTAGATTGGATCTAAGGAGGAAATTCTTTCCTGTGAGGGTGGTGAGGCACTGGAATGGGTTGCCCAGGGAGGTTGTGAATGCTCCATCCCTGGCAATGTTCAAGGCCAGGTTGGACAGAGCCTTGGGTGAGATGGTTTAGTGTGAGGTGTCCCTGCCCATGGCAGGGGGGTTGGAACTGCATGATCTAAAGGTCCTTTCCAACCCTGACTATTCTATGATTCTATGAATGTAAGTAAAGAGGAGATTAAATGTTATGAGAAACTTCCATCTTGTTTGTACTTGAGTAAAACAAAGGACAGCAGAAGCTTAGCGTGGTCTGTGAGGGATGAAGGGCACCCCAAAGAGAACAGCAGTGTTGAGGTGCCTCTGATACACCATTGAAACCCTCCCAGCATCATGTGCAAAGCACTCCAGCCAGACAAACTCCAGGGGCGGTTGGATCAATAAACAAGCAGAAGGGATGCTGCAGAAATAAGAGATGCTTTGCCAAGTCTTGCTGTGGTACGGTGATCAGCGAAATCGTGTTGTACCTGAACACCTGGTACAACAGGTGTTGTACACAGATCCCAATGTAAAGGCAAATCTGGGGTGCAATGATTTGGCTGGGGCACCTCACACATGCATAAGCAGCTGTCCATTACCTCCTGCCCTTTGAGTTCTGGGTATGAAAAGCCATGTTCCTCCCTCAGACATGGCCTTTCTGCCCACATAGCTATGGATCTTGGATCTACATCTGAAGCAGTTTTCAGCATTGCCCAAACTGTTTCTCATTACATTCTCTGGCATTTGACAGTTAGTTTTGGTATTTTTAATTCCTCTGCACAGAAATAAACCAGAACACAAAGAAGACGCTAAACATGCCTGAGATGCTGCAGAAGCCAGGTTACAACCCATTTTAGAGAAACACAAAGACAGAAAGCTGTTGTGGTGGCGATCGCACTTATTAAAGCAGGAAATGGGAACATTTGTTTTTATCAAAGGATTCCACCACCCAAAAAAGCCCCCAGCCCACCTTCCAGGTGATGCACCAGCAGCAGCCACGGGTGGCTGCTTCCCTTGCCAAGTCCTCAGCCTGGGGGTGCCACTGCCTAACACCAGCAGCCCGCGGGCAGGACGTTCACACCTGCAGCAGGCCCGAGCAAAGGCCAAAAGAATTAGAAGAACTTTCACGCCAAGTTCTTTGGAGGAAGAAGGGCCCTCAGGAGCAACAGGCACACATCAGGTCCTCGGCTGGAGAGGACGGGGTCCTGAGAGCGCCCAGTTCCGCCGGAGCAGCGCAGGCCAGGCTCCGTCCCAGCATCCGAATGGCTTTATGGCATTACCTGGCCCGGGTTTGGGCAGGACGGGATTTTCCCATCCCTCCTGGTAAGCCAGCCCCCTCCCAACGCCCCCGCCGGGGAGAAGGACCTGAGGGCACGTGTTGGCACTGTGCCGCAGGCAGCATGGCAGAGCCAGCCCCGCCGGGAGCGTGGCTCCTGCTTTCCTTCGGATGACCACCTGGGGGCAGGCTGAGGCCTCCTCCAGCCTTCAGTGTTCTGGAGATACAGAAATTAGCAGGAGAATCGATCAAACACAGCATGATCTCATTAGATGAATCATGCCAAACCGGGCAGCTCAGTGTGAGCGAGCGGTGTGCTGCTGTGGCAAAGCAAACCAGCAGGGTGCCGAGTTACATTAAACGAGGGCATCACCAGCAGAGATGAAGTCATCATCCCACTCAGTGCTTGTCGGGTCACACCTGGAATATTGTGTTCAGTTTTGTCCCCAGTGTACAAGATGTGAACAGGCTGGAGAGGGTCCAGAGAAGGGCCACAAAGATGATCCAAGGACTGGGAAGCCTGCTGAGGAGAGGCTGAGAGAGCTGAGTTTGTTCAGCCTTGAGAAAAGAAAGGTCAGGGGAGACCTTTCCACCATGTCCCAGTATTTTAAAGAGTGGCCACGAAGAAAATAGAGGCTCCCTTTTTACAAGGAGTCACATGGAAAAGACGTGGTGTGATGAGCACAAGTACTCCCAGGGAGATTCCACTTGGACACTAGAGGAAAAGTTCTTCACAATGAGAACAATCAGTCATTGGGATAATCTCCCCGGGGAAGTGGTGAACTCTCCAGAAATGGACACTGTTAAGATCTGGCCGGACAGGCCGCTGGGATGCCTAGCCTAGGTCATGCTTTGCTAAGGCAGGTTGACTCAGATGATCCTTTTGATCCCTTCCAACCTGGTATTCCATGATTCTACAACTCCTGGACATTATATAGTAATTCTCAGCAACTCCTCCCCTGGGGTCATTTGTTTGACCGTGAATCAGGAAGAGGCCAAAAAGCTCCAGCATCTGCCACCTCTGTTATAATAACAGAGCCTTGCATTGCCAGCCCTGCAGTTCCTGCACTGCAAGGCAGCACTCAGTCATGCTGAGCAGCACCAAAGCTAGTGCACAGCATTAGACCCACCCACAATTCAGGTGGGTTATCCTTGCGTGAAATTACAGCTAACCTTTGACTTCAGGCCCAATTCAGAAAGCCCTGAACTTCTTGCTAGAGTGATCTAGCAAGTAAACTGAGTGTTTACCACTTCTGTATTGCAAACCCCAGTTCTCACATGCGTTGTTAATCTTTAAACACACGGGTTTCTGTACAGAATTCTGCAGTTTTAAGAAATACCACCAGGGGCACAAGGTACCAGGCTTCAGAAAGCCACAGTAAGGCTGTGTTCCAGAAAAAGCCGAGGTGCTCAGCAAAACCAGTGATAGGACGAACTATTTGTCATCTACAGAGGAAGCAGCAAGAGATGTGGGCTTGCTCAAGGCAATGCGCACAAACTAAGACGGAGCCAGCAACTGCACCCAGGTCTCCCATCACTAGCAGCACTCTCTGAAGAAGGTCACCCTGTCTCCATGACCACCATGATCCCAGCATGGGTATTCTACAGCTATTTTGTGTACCATCCCAGTACGCCCTAGAGAGGGAGGCAGAGGCCTTGAGCAACCAGCCCTGCAATACTTTGGCATAATCACCCCAAATGGCTGGAATGGGACAGCCACCCTGTTATTGCCACTTTGCATCCAGAGAACACAGCAGGGATTAGAAAGCCTACACAGACAGCTGCAAGAAGCCAGAAGTTGCAGGTGAAGATCAACATAGACCAGAGCACGTCTCTGGACTACATTGTCCTCGTTGCTGCTGTGGAAGGAGGTAGCTGCAGTTTAGGCACTGCAGAGGGCACCAGGTCCACCAAGGAGCTCAGCTGATGGCAGCTACGCGGTCCCATGACTTCCATGGGGAGATGCTGCTTTACATCAGCTGAAGATGTAGTTTGCTGCCACAGTGATTTTGTCTCTTACTAATGACTTTGTCTTCCCATCTGTGCCAAACTCTCTTATTTATAGTACACAAGTTTTTTTTCTCCCGCCTGCCTTTGTGCTTGTTATCCTTTCTTACAGAGGTAAGAAAAAGATAGGGGAAAAAATCTTTTTGTCAAGTAAATCTGTCACTGACCTAAATGGAAATTTGTTCGAGCAAATTCAGAGAGAGAGAGCTTTGATCCTGTGTGAGTAAGAGGGGAAAGGAAAGGGGAGCAGACTCTGCTGCTATCAGAACAGATCTTAACTGCTGGGTAACAACTAGGCAATGGAGCAAAAGCCACATGAGTTTAAAAAGGAAGCTCAGCCAAAGGTCACCTGGCTGTCCTAGATGTTCATTATCAGAGCCTTGAAAAAGGGAGGAAGGTGACATCAGCTGATAATAGCAACGACTGGAAAAAGCTGACGGGGCTGGGGGAAAGCAAAGGGTTGGCAGAACCCCGGCACTGGAGCTGCTGGGGCCACAACGAGAAAATCTGTTTGTCAGATCTGAAGCATTTCCTAGGCACCGAGCCAGAAAGAGCCCTGGTCATTGCAATGCCATGTTTTATTTGCTGCCTTGTCTTTGCAGGTGTTTGTACTGCTTTCACTGATCATCCGTATAGCTGAAGCGGTGAGGGGAAGGGTGACAAGGGGACAGACATAATGAGACTGGTACATATCCTGGAACACCAGAGGAATACACAGCCTGTGTGAAACCATACAGTTCTTCAGCCATCCAAGAGAAGTGGAGGGAAGGGAGCTCATACATGCCTACAGTTTCCTAAAAGAGGAGAACAATCCAGTAGTGAGA